GCCCCTTGCTGGCTCTTGGCTGGTTTCTCCCTGAAGCAGAGCCCGTGGGGATCTGGGGACACTCCTGGCCCCGGGCTTGGCACACAGGAGGCAATCCCACAGGAACGGTAATGATGACGCTGCCCCTAGGTATCGGCTTTCGGATGAGGGGGAGTGGCTGGTGAGGGAGTTGGACCTCCCCGTGGACAGGACTGAAGATGGCTGGGTTTCCCTGCAGGATCTGCGCAAGATCCAGAGAGAAGCTTCAAGAAAGTGAGAGCCCTCTGTGTACCAAGGATGGCGGGGAGGGGTCCGGGCTGGCCCTAGGAGAGCTGCGATGCCTTGTTTTCAGTTCTGAGAGGCTGAAAGGCAAAGCTTCCCCTTTCCCCCCCTGGTCCCCAGGTCACACTGGAAGAAGTGGGAGGTGGTCGCCGAACGAGCGTGGATGGGGGGCACAGAGTCAGAAATGTTCAACAAGCTGGAGAGCATCGCCACGTCTGACACCCCATGTACCCCCGTGCTGGGCTGCCGTATCAGCCGAGCCCTGGAGCCCTCGGCCGTCCAGGGGGAGGTAATCTCACTGTCCTTGGAGCCCGAGCAGAGGGGTCGCAGGGGAGGGCAGGGCTCTTCCCCTCTGACCCATGCCCTCCTTCCCCCCAGTTTATGACCAGTCGTGTGAACTGGGTGGTGCAGAGCTCTGCTGTGGACTATTTGCACCTCATGCTCGTGGCCATGAAGTGGCTTTTTGAAGAATTTGCCATCGATGGGCGCTTCTGCATCAGCATCCACGACGAGGTCCGCTACCTGGTGCGAGAAGAGGACCGCTACCGCGCGGCCCTGGCCCTGCAGATCACCAACCTCCTGACCAGGTACGCGGGGCCCCGGGGCCTCTCTGGCCGGCCACGTGCTCCTGTGCGGGGCCGTGGACCAGGCTCGGGCATGCTCTGTGCATTTTCACCGCCCCAGAAGTGCTGGTTTCAGGTTTTATGTCTGGTTGAAAAAGACGGTCTTGAAAAGACCGGTCTCAACTTTTAAGAAAGATTTCTTGGGTTTGAAAAGAATGTATGTACCCAGACCAGATCAGGTAGTGAGAGAGGTCTGGGAGGTGTTCTGAAGAGTGGCTGCCATCTTGTCCTCCCCTAGGCACACACCTTGGTTTTGCAGATCAAACGCCAGATAGCTTTTCTCCGTTCGTTAAGTGCCACAAGTTTGTGATTTGGACTATCAACAGAAAACGTTGTTAAATGTGACTTAGAAAGTATTTTTAATTAAGATTCCGAGTTTACATGGCTTAATTAAATGGTAACTATAGCTCCGTGTTAGTCTGCCACTCAGAATCAGTTTGGGACCCAGATCTGTCCTAATGGGCAAATAAGAAGTATCCTACACATTAACACGGTCTCCACTGCCCTCTTACAGCTAAGGGTCCTCATAGGTTTTGAATATCGTTTGGTTCAGTAAGTCAAATTTTGTACGTCAATAAAGCGGACCGAACCGTGGGAGGAGAAAAAGATGTGTTTGGGTCCCTGATTTCATTTTGGTGTCAGCGGGAGGGGTCTGGCTGCTGGGTGGAGGGCTGTGTTGGACACGCCTGAGAGGAGATGGGGTCTTTTTCAGGTGCATGTTTGCCCATAAGCTGGGCCTGGATGACCTGCCCCAGTCAGTCGCCTTTTTCAGTACAGTCGATATTGACCAGTGCCTCAGGAAGGAAGTGACCATGGATTGTAAAACCCCTTCCAACCCAACTGGGATGGAAAGGAGATACGGGATTCCCCAGGGTGAGCTCCACACATTTGTTCGTTGTGCGTAGAACACAAGGTGGACTCGAAAGCTGTCTCGGACAGTGGGAAGCTCAAGGCTGCCGGCGGCTGCTCCAGTTAATCGTGTGCCGCGGGCCCGAGGTGAACATGCTGTTCAAATCGCAGAGGAACAGGTTTCTAGAGAGCTGTTCACGTACGCGAAGAAAGAAACCAGAACTCAAGATATTCACTATGTACTATTATTCCCTCTCCAACCACACCAAAAACGCGTTTTAAGATTTATTGTATAAGCTCAAAGTGCATTCTCAAGAGAAAAAAAAAAAACTGTGCTTTGAATAATTTGAACAAGTTAAAGCAACAACTTCTTTAGTACAGAACAGACACTCCCACTCCTCGAGGAAGCATCCTGACCAGCTTGCACTCTCTTTCAGGTGAAGCGCTGGATATTTACCAGATAATTGAACTCACCAAAGGCTCCTTGGAGAAATGAAGCCCGCCTGGACCGTAGCTCTGCCCGGAGGCCCTGTATTTGCTCCCGTGGAGCTTCGTCAGGGCAGTGCGGGCTCCCACACTCAGGCTTTCAGCTGTGCTTTTTGCAAAAGGGTTTCCCTCGGGCCAGCCCTTCTTCAGTAGCAGGACTTGCCAGGCACGACGGCCTCTACCTGAAGGTGCAGTTGAGTTCAATGGGTTCGGAACCAAGACGCTAACACTGGTGCGGGCTGTGGGACAACGGGGCACTGTTGCTTGCTGGGTAAAAAGAGCAGAAGCCCCAAAGTTCACATTAACTCAGGCATTTATTTTTTCCTTCTCTTCTTGGCGGGTTCTTTGTCCTGTCCCTCGTGCTCTGACGCAGTGCCCTAGAAGGGGAGAGAAGTCACGCTTTAATGTGATAAGCCTGCTCAGAGGCGGTGGAAATAAAAACAAAAATCCTTTATCTTCTCACCAAAGCCTGTGGTGGTGGTGCTTTCTCCACAGACAGAACAACCTCCTAGGAGTGGGAAGGGTGGGGGAGGCCTCTAAAGTAGCGGAGCAGGCCCGTGCTAATGCCTTTCCTGCCTTCAGACACGGGCGAGGACAGAGGCGCCTGGGTGCTGGGTGGCCCTGCGCCAGCTCAGTAAAAGGGCAGGAGACAGGGCCAGGTGTGTTACAGCCTGGGATGTGACCGCCCAAAGAATGTAGGTTCAAAATTTTTGAGAAGCGACAGATCAGGGTGGCTTATGTCAATTTCCACGTCAGACGGACCTGAGCCAATGAAACTTGTAGGAGCTCACGGGGCTTGGGGGCACTACTGTAACTGGAAGAGCTAACGGGCCAGAGGAGGCGGAGACGTGGGGGTGGGCCACAGGAAGCCTTACCTGAACTCCTCACGGCGAGGCCCTCATGACGAGGGCCCAGGGAGAGAAAGTAGTCATTTTCCAATGCTTCAAAAGGTCACAGGAGACCCCATGGTGAGAACTTGTGTCACCACCCCCTTTCTAGAAAGGTCTACCCCAAAATGTGCACAAAACTGGGTAACTTCATATGGTGCCAAACTCCTAGCTCTTCTCTGACAGCCCTTAGTTTCGGCTTCACCTGACCCCCTCCGCCCCCTCTCTCTGGCCCCCTCCCCTCAGCCATGCTGCTCCCAGCCAGTCAGAAGGGTGGCCGGGCTTGCTGCGCTCCAGTCAGGAGCAGGCACGGACCTCGTTGTCGTCATCGTCGTCCTCGTCCTCCTCCTCCTCCCGAAGAACCATATCCAGGATGTTTCCTTTGATCTTGAAGTCTCGTGAGGTGCTGAGCTTCATGTGCTGCATCAGGTTCACCTGCAACAGAAGGTTTTCCTACCTATATGACAGGTCCCGCCAGGGCCACCCGGAGGTGCTGCTGCTGTGCCTCCAACAAACCCTTCGGTGCCGACTTAGAGCAAGCATGCGCCCACCTGACCTGCTTTTCTATCAGTCCCTAATGTGAGGTTTGCATTCAGGCCATCAGATCACAGAGCAAAGGGCTGTGGTTTCCCCACACTGTGCCGCTTCTGTGTGCTAGGCCCCCTGGCAGGGTAAATGGAAACACTAGAAGATAATGGAGTATGTTTACCTTGGACTTCTTCGAAAGGTGGATGAGGAATTTTTCATACTGTTCGATGGCAAAGATGAGGTTAGGGATTGGCTTGGTTTCCCGAAGAACTCGGGCCTACAGGGCAAAGAAGATGAGACCTAAATTTCAGATTCAAGGGCTTTCAGAGTTGTCCTCTGAAACAGTCCGCAGAGCTGCTCTTGGCTTTGCAGGAGAAAGCTAGATCTGCCCTCCAGTCAAATGCAGGATTCCTCACATTCCAGTAATCTAAGATTTCTGCCAGTTCAATCTCCTCGAAGGACCTGGGCGCAGATAAAGACAGCAGCAAATCTCTCCATTTACAATTCCTCAGTATCTGTTTTACAGACCGGCTGTAAGAAGGACCATTTGTAGAAATCTGGTTGCTTCCCTGACTTAACACAGTGAGCCCACCAGTGCCTTTCTAGTTTTCACCATTGGGATCAGATTTCTCCCAGTCTGACTTGTAATCTCTGGGTCCTCCCAAATGTACACATCGATGTGTTCTGTACTTTTTTTTTTTTTTTTATAAAGCCCACAAGGAAGGACATTGTTATTGTTTTTTCATCACATTATCTTGGAGATAGCTCTACATCTGAACATTTCTATATCTGAACATTTAGATTTGTATTTTCTCATGCCTAAGTCATATCCTACGGTATAAATAGACCATAAGCCTTTTAGCCAGTCCACTTAGTGCGTATCTTCCGTCTTAGTTTTTCTAGTATCTCACTTTTGCAAATGACACTACTACGACTGTCCTGGACACAGGCCTTTACAGTTTCTACATCCTAAAAGTGGAACTGCTGTAAAGCACAGTGTGGAGATCTCCTGAAATACAGCACTTACTGCCAAACGGCCCCTGAGAGGCCACTAGTGTGCACCTGTTCCAGCAGTGTCCTGGAGAACCCTCCTCCTGTCCCCTGACACTGGCATGTCCTTTAGGGGGTATCTTCCACACACATCAGCCCTTCCTAAAATAATTCCTTTCCAATGGGAATCCAAAGCCATTTCCATTTTTAAAGAAAGAGCTTGAGATTTTCTGGCGCTTTCTGAATAAAGTATGCAGTTTTTGGTGGAGGAAGATGTTCCACCTGAACATAAATCCTGTGAGCTGAGAAGCACATGTGCACCCATTTAGGTAGCAGCATTAATGAGCTCTAGTTCACACCTCTCACAACTTCCCCATTTATGCCGCACGGTTCAGTGTTTTTTATACTGAGAGTTGTGCAGTTGACACAATAGATCTTAAGACATTTTCACACACCCCCCAGAGAAACCCCATGCCTATTTCACAGCAGCCACCCCCCCACCCCAGACAACCACTAATCTGCTTTCTGTCTTCTCAGACCTGCCTATTCTGGGCCTGTCACATAAATGGAAGCCTCCAGTATGTGCGGTCTTTCTGTGACCGGCTTCTTTCTCAAGGCTCACAAGTGCTGCTGCGTCAGCCAGCAGTGTGGGCTGCTTACCATGGCTGTGGCAACAGCAGCGGTTTTCCCCTTTTTCTTCTCTCCTGTGTATTTTAGGCTCTGACTCCTCTTGTTCTGAAGAAATAGAAACAAATTCTCTCATTCCTGAAGATTCTTCATGGGAGCTAGCAGGCCAGTGGTCATTTTCGAAGAAGGTGAGGATAGCAGAATATGGGGACTCTATGGGGGACCACGTCCGGGTGGAGATAACTGACAGCAGATGCTGGAAGATGGGGAGCATTCTGTGATGCTTTACGATCCTCAGATTTTTTTTTTTTTTTTTAATCGCCGGGAGGTTTACAATCTCCCTCTTAGAACTAGCACATGAAAGTGAGGGCAGGAATGACTGTTCTCGTACCAGACCCACCAAGGGACTGGAGAGGTACAAAGGATGGTTGAAATGGGGACTGTCACGATGGCAGCAGGAACAGGGATTTCCCAACTCGGCAGTTGGCTCAAAGGGTTTCCCACGAAGGAGAGGAAGCTGGAGAGGTTGCTCCCAGGGCCTCCAGCCTTCCCACTTAGAGGCAGACACCAGACATGTCCGTGTGCCACGTGGTTACATGCTTGAGAAGGGTTCAGAGGTCATACGAACACTTTCCTGTGTTGTAAATAATCGCAAAAGGAACCAAAAAGTACAAGATGAGGCAGAAGACAGTCAAGACCTACGTCACATGTGAGGCACACAAAACACGGGAACCTTTACCTGAAGGGGCGTCGTGTGCCTTCTAGGAAGAAACACACAGGCCTCATGGGACAAGTAAGAGGTTTAAAAACGCAAAGCTGAAAATGGGGAGAATTGTACCACTAGAACCATGTGTGAGAGGCTGGAGTCTTAGTCCCATGGCATGTTCTGGAAATTAAGAAATGATAGGGATTCCAGAGGGGCTGGTATAAAGGTCTATTTTTAGTCCTGGAAGGCAGGGTAGAGAGTGAAGCCCTTTTAAGAAAGTGGCAGGGAAACAGCCATAGATCGAACCCATGTGACCAAGTGGGAAGCAAGGGGTCTTTCTAGAGGTGGTACCCAAGATGGGATCCTGTCCACTGCCCATTCCTGCTGATTTAGGAAGGACTGAAATTACAGCCAAAAGAGGCACCATGTAAAGGTACATGTTCTGAGCAGCATGCTTAAGGGTTTTGAATTACTGGTTTGCACTGCTTTCTTCTCATTGAGATCCAAG